ATTTGGCTTATGGTCTGATGTTGAGTAACTAAATAATGTATAGAGTTTAATATGTGTATCATTATTATTTTTGTCGCAAATAATTATGCTTCATATTTCTGGAATTTTTTTTTATAGAAATCTATAACATTCTCTTTAGAAACTGTATAGAAATTCTATAGAAAATTCTATAGACATCTATAACATTTGCTTTAGAAGTTGTATAGGAATTCTATAGAATATCTGTTTGGAAATGTATAACAGATGCATAAGTTACAGTATCAATTAGCATGCTCACATTTTAAGTTAAAATGTTAAAAACATTAAATTAAGCATTTAATTTAAACATTTAAGTTAAATTATCATTAAATTAAACATTTAATTAAATGTTAAAAACAGCAAATACTTAGCCTTACACCACATTTTAAAATTGAAATGAAAAATGAATTTAATGCACATATTTGTAACAAATACTTAATTAATCTTACAAAATTATTAACCACAAACCACCATGGTGACCATTTTAAAGTTACTGTTAGTGTAACTTAAAACCTAACTACTTTAATCATCATTCCAGATGCCAGGTTTTCAATAACCAGACAATGGATCAGGCCGTGATAGGGGTCCAATTTATGAGTTGAGATGTACGATTTAGTAAATTATTTATTGTATGAAATATGAAATGCTATATTATTTATACTGTCCTACACAAAACAAATGATTAATTACAGAAGGTTTTATATAAATGCATTTAATAAGAATTATAACTGGTCTTAAATGGTTTCCCCACCCCCTTTATTAAACATGGTATATTCCTCAACTGGGTGGTGAAATTTGAAAGCTAACGGAACGGTCTTCATCGACATCTCCCTCGCTTTGCTGCACCCTTTGTTGTTGTGATACTGTATCCTCCTTTTGTTCAGTAATAATTGGGGTAATAATCGCAAACTGATATTTTATTGAAATGGTTATTACCTATAGCAATGTCTATGTACTAGTTAAATGGACGTTCTTCCGTTGAAACTCAACCTAGCCTAGGATAGCCGCTGGGCCTATTCTATTGCCATTTGAAAAAAAGAAGAGTCCGCACCATGCCAAAGTCTAGGCCTATGCACAGTCAGTATTATTGTGGTAAGTAAAGAAAACTTAATCTCCTTTCGTCCATAAATGTACGCCTTCCACATTACGCCTAGTTACTTATTCTAGCCTAGGCCTAGATATAATTTTGTAGCTAAGTATCAAGTTTAGTTCAGTCAGTTCGTCAGTGCAGTGGCAGTGTTTCTGTTCGTATCTGTACTGTTTAGGCTAGGCCTAGGCTAAACCTAAGAATTGAGTAAAAAAAAGTGCAACAGCTCAGGTACGGGCGTTGGGACACAAAAGAAAAATCGTTTTTTTTTGCTTACCTAGGCCTAGCCTAGGCTTAGGCCTCTTCTTTAACCTAGGGCCTACAGTACACACTACCTAGCCTAGCTAAGCCTTACAAGCCTAGGCAGAAAATTTGAAAAAAAATGCATTTTTTTCTTTAAATATCATTTATTTATTGTATTTTGTGTCAACCAAAAATATACTTCACTCTTTTTCAAAATGAATGATTGTATAACTGTCAACTGTCTGACCTCAATAATTGGTATTTTAAATTCGACAACCACACAAGTCATGCCCAAAAACATCAATAGCTGGAACTTTTTAATATACTCATATTCTACACATAGGAAGTTTTCAATTATGTTATAATTAAAGTTTGAAATATTTCAAGCATAATTATATTTTGTTGACCAAAAAATATGGTATAAATAACTGGGGTGTGAATATTTTTCATGGATGTCCATTGACAGTCAAATACTAATAGCATGCGCAAATGTGGGAGGAAAGTTTACTAATAAATAGTAAATAATTATCTATCTTCCAATAGATTGACATTGGCCATGGTTTACTTATAGAAAAGGACCAACTCATAGCCATTACTCAGATAAGCGATTGGGGCCACGAGGCAAATTCAAAATTTGTTTGTTATTGTTTCTGATGCATGAAGTGGTAGGGAAATACATGATAGGGAAGAAAAGCAACGCACATGTGGAACATCGGTAGAGAAAGAGCATTTGGATCCCATCTGAATTACTGCCCTAACAGGTAGGTAATTTGTTAAATAAGTTTGTGTTTTACCTTTTAAATGAAGATACAGTACAGCAGGTTTATGTACTGTAATAAGGGATTTATATTTCAAAAGATAAATGGTACATCAACATGTAATGTAAAGCTTTTTTGTTTGGGTTAGACATTGATTTTTTTTTCTTTAAATTTTAATCTGAAAGTTTGCATTGTCACTTTGTAACCAATTAATAACCATCAAAAGAGAGCCTGTCTTTATTACTGACTTAACCTACACAGTAGCTACATCTTACTGTATATGTTCTGCATAGCACTTGAGGGAGGAAACTTTAATACAGTATTAGACAGTTAATGAAGAAAATATTTTGCTACAAGTGGAATACTTATATTAAAATTATATTTAGATTTTGCACAAGATAACAAATAATATGAAATATTACTTTTATTGGACCACTACTTTTAAGGTATCTGCATTTTATTCTTTAGAGATTACCATAACTAATTTTAGACATTGCACCGAAATTATTAAAATTCATCCTGCTCTTGGTGGTTGCCCGTTTATGAGTTTTCAATTTAGAAGCCTATAAGAGTATTCAATTTTTTTGCATTTTTTTACCCCCAGATTTCACTGATAAGGAGTATCCTGAGGCTTCAACCACTCTTTTGAGGCAGTCTCTGCCAAACAGAATAAAGAAAATGAACGAGCCTAAAAATTGGGAATACCATGTATGCATTTTTGTTTTTAAATTTTGTTATTTAAATTTAATTCCAAACTTCGTTCTAGTGATATTAGATATGTATAGTATTTTATTATATTTGATGTTTCAGTGTGTAGGCCGTCTTAAAGTTAGGTTCAGAAAAGTTTTTTTTTTTTTTAATTTTTTTTTTATGTTGTAGAACTGATTTTTTTAAAAACCAAAAAGAATATTTAATGAAAAACTTTGAAGTGGTTAATGAGATTCAGATTTTTTAATATTTAAAAACTGGGGGAAAAGAGACATAACCACCCTTTTTCCCTACTTTTCCCCAGTTTTTAAATATTCAAAAATCTGTATCTCTCTCATTAACTGCTTCCAAGTTTTTTGTCAAATATACTTTGAGGCTTAGCAAGATCAGTTCTACAACATATCAACAAATTTATGTCCTCCAGAGCTTGGCTTTATTAAATAGAAATGCTACTTCCACATCAATAATTATCTACCCTTGTCATATTTTCTTTAAAAATAACATTCGTTTAAATATTTTTGTCTTGCCATATTATTGTATATACATAAAATCAATATTTTCTTATTGATGTGAGTAGCAATTATTTCAGTACTGTATTTTATTTTGTAGCTTAGGGGCCAATCACAATTGAAAACATAATGTATTAAAAGAGTACTCTTTTTTGCCACATCAACCCCTTTAAAAAGTGTACATACAGTACATGGAAAATGTTGATTTTGCAATACCGTTCTCTATGGCCTTTTTTTTCAATGGGTACATAGATACATAATTAGGTTTAAATATATCCATATTGGCATGTTATTAAATTTAGAAAACCGATTTCAATCAATATTTTAAGCTTTTGTAAATTCCTTTCATTTAATTTTGTATTTACAGGTAGTACTAGGCCTTTTCCCCCCTTAGCATACTGTTTATACATTTGTTGATAATTATGAACGGTCCATACAGTGCAGGGTTATCCACCTTATGTTTTGAAATTTCTTTTTTGAGTCTTTCACATCTATTAAATGTGTGTAAAGTTAAATCTAATACTGTACTGTAATAGTAAAAAAATATGTAAAACTTTTTCTTTCATCTACCCTTATCAATATCGCTTACAGTACTTTGATGTTATTTAATATATTTATAATATTTTATATAGGCCTGCAATTTACTGTAAATACAACTATTATATAAAATTATTTTTATAAATCTTTATATGT